GGATTTTAGCAGTGGCACATCCACCAGGTTTACATCACTGCCCCACTCTGCTCTCCTCTAATGACTTCTCAACTCCTCTAAATGAAATACATTTCATTTCTATCTTTGTTTTATCAGGTATGCAAACGTTTTTCTGCACCCAGTTACTGACGATGAGGCCCCAGGTTACCATGGCATTGTTTTCAGGTAAAAAAACGTGTAAGGGACTCAACTCGTGCTGTAAGAGAAGAGTCTGTAGACAAGTATAACTTACTGACTTTCCGGAGCTTATCATGTTTTTATGTCATGCATAGACTAGAGCATTTCCAATCCTTTTAAGTGCCAATCAATCAAAAGTCTCCCCAAGGTGTTCGTTAGGTTTCCCTGAATGCTGAACAAGTTGATCATACTTACTCTTGGGTATAGAGCTACTCTTGCCTCAGGACACAACATGACCCGGCGACGGCTTCCACCGATCAGGCCCCTCTCGACTCGGAGTCCAGCGCGCTAACCATAAGGCCGCTATGTCTCTCACACCATTACTGAGAAAATCAGAAAATCATGAGATGGAACCATCTGACTACTCTAAATTAATGAGCCTTAGAACAAGTGACCCTCTCTTAAAAAAAAAAGTGATTGATGAATTGGAAATTGAAGCATCTTGTTATCTGCTGAAATATCAAGGAAGTAGTTCCCTCTAGTACGACAACCATTAGACAACGATCCATCACAATATCCCAATTTAAGCCGTCTCATCTTTTTGCAGACCTATGGATTTATCAACGATAAAAAAGAACATTGAAAATGGGGTAAGAATATAACATGAATTTGAAGTCTGTCTGTATTTGAGATGTTTTAGGTTGGAAGCCAGGCGTATCTTAACCCTAAGAGTGACTAGCATCTAATTTCTCCTGACAGTATTACCCCTGAATCACGCATTAAGGTCGTGAGAATAGTGGAAATGACCACCAACGAAAGAAGCTTTTGATCGGTAAACAAATTCTCCTTGTCAGCATCTTAGGAAATGTATGAAGAACAGTATGGAGAATATGCATACTGATGTTAGGGTGTAAAGGGTTAATGATTTGTTTGACATTACCACGCTAATATCACCGTTTTTTCGTTTCAGACCATTCGTACAACAAGCGAATTCCAGAGAGACATGATGTTGATGTTTCAGAATGCTCTCATGTACAACAGCGCTGATCATGACGTGTAAGCAACTGCTTTGTTGTTCGTCACATATCTATGTCAGTAAAATGAGGTTGTAACTGGTTATTTGAACGAACGTCTACTACTGAGGATACATTTTCGACATTTCCACTTATCCTTTACTGTTCTTAATTCAAGGTAAAGCTTTTTTATGTCTTAAATTCCTCGTCTCTTTCAGGTATCGCATGGCGGAAGAGATGCGTGACGATGTCATGGAACAAATCCAGGTAAACACATGTGTAGGATAAATGCATGGTGGAGAAGTTCGCTTACAGTTTAAATACTTCAAGAAATATTGGCCATAAGTTGCTTGACTATTTGCGTTGTCCGAGCATAACATGAGAACTTTTACCTGTCTAGATTTGCTACCACACACAGTGAGAAGTGGGCCCTTGTTTAGTTTTATAATTCCTTTTCCACGAGTTAGTTACCGTCAGTTATAACCCATTCATTAATTTTCGCTCGATTTCACTGGCTACTTTACGCCATGAGGTGCAAAATAACTGGACAGTTATTACGCAATAGCTCCCGTCTTCGTCGATATTTTCTCTCATATTATTTCTGTCGTGAAGAAAAAAAGCTTGCGAACGAAAGCCTGTGATGTTATAAAGCTTGTCGCAAATATGCATTCGCCACTGGCTTTTTACAAGCGGTTTTCGTTCCTCATAAATGTTAAAGAGAAGGTTATAAAATGATTAAACCACTTTCTGGCCTGCTGGTATTTCGGCTGATAATGTCCTTGGCTAAGAGTGTCCTCGAAATGTTGCATGTGCCCTCAGAGCTTCGTTTTTCGGCCAAATAGTCATTTTCCGGACATCTTTCAGCCGCAGACATTATCAGCCGCTCGAAGGGGTTTATTTACTGATTATCGTAAAAGATAGTCTACTCTTTATTTGCTTTCAGTCGTACATTGCCACTCAGATTATGGTCGATTCAAAGATGTTACGGGGTCACAGACAAGATGGTTAGATATCTTTGGTTTTTATTTTCATGTGATTTTCATTTATTAGCTCGTTTTTTTGTATGATCGTCAAAGGTTGTAGTGTCAGTGTGCTAACATTTTTGTTCAGAGAAAGTCAAACTTTTAGAAGTCCAATTATATTTCCAATTTCTTACGTGTCAAACGTTTATTTCTTACAGTGTTTCACATCTTCTTATGAGCTTCATCGTTTACCTAGCTCGAAGGTGAGCTCTAGATCGCAACTTTTTCTTTTTCTTTTATTTCGACAAAATCATTCCATACTACCTTGAGTCAGGGGGGAAAAAACATAAATCGCAACGCGAAATTGGCAAATCGTTATCTAATTCCCTTTTTAAAGCAAAGAAACCCTTTTTGTACAGCGAGCAAACAAAAAAGTCGTCGAAAAAATCTTCTGGCCTATCGGTCAGAAGTTTGCACTTATTAGCAAGCGTCGTAATTCTTAACTTCCTTAAAAAGGCTAGTTATTAATGAAAACATTTGGAATCATCACCTCTTACGTCCTGCTCTTCTGAGGGCACATGATCAGCGATGGTGTTACCTAGAGATTCCATCAAAAGAAGTTGAAGAAGTAGAGGATAAAACAAATGATAAGTACTTTTTTTTCTCGGCCGTATTAACGTTAAGTTTTCTTTTACAGGCTTTCAACTCGGCCTATCGGGATGTCTTCATCGGTCTCTTTTCCGAAGTGGACGGGCTGCATTCCAGTCTAAGTCACGGTCTTAGCAAATTCATGGATAACTTTGTGGGGATCAGCTTTCGATTTCGGGAAAGTTTTTATACAATACTAATTCTATTTTCGTTGGACTTAGCTACGATTAAAAGGGATTTGGTTTGACCTTTGGCGTGTCTTCTCTGCTTAACGTTTTTAGTGTAGTCCATACAACATTTATCCCCTCGACCGTGAAAACGCTCGGCAGCACGGCTTTGGACTTCACTGACTTTTAAACTCACATTCCGTTTTCTCTTATCGATCATCACATTCTGCAAGATCCACGAAAGAAGCATGTTGTCATTTCAGAGATCGCTTGTGGTACTCGACCGCAATACCGCTAAGAAGTGAATTGCTTTGTCGACTAATTCGCAAACTCCCGTGGTCCTCAACCAATCAGAAAGCGCTAGCTTAAGACGTCGATCGTATTAGTTGGGGATCCTAACTGTAAAATAAATCGGAACCTCGTCATATTTTTTTGTGATCGGAGAACGTGCTTGGCTCGGGGGTGCTCATGACGCCTGTCGTTTTCATGCCGTTAGCGTTCGCTTCTCACGTTATGGGGACGACTGGCGATTAGTCAGCTTCCGACGTCGTCAATCGACATTTGGTGGTCACTTATCGCTCGCATGTAGATACGTTGTCTGAGGGAAACCAAGAATTAATAAGTTTCTACGTGTCAGTTGAACTGTCTTAATGACTACAGAAACATATAACGTAACAATGAGATTTAGCAGAGGAAAGCACTGAAGTGTTGTGCGTCGTAGTTCGTTGACTTTCCTTTTTGCTATCCCGGATGATTTAAAAGCCGGCCATTCTTCCCCTAGTTAGCCTTGTCATGCCTTGCCTTGCCTTGCCCCTGCCCCCCTCCTAGCCCTCAAGGTTTCCACTTAGACCGACACTCTCATGATACGTACAGAAACTCAACCTTTATTTTTCCCTAAGCAGTGTCAATAGCCATTCCTGTCTTAATAAGCTGTCATTCGCTTCTGTGGCCGTCGTCGATCGACTTAACTAGTAAGGAAAGGATCGCCCAATCATAGGCAGGGAGGCACGGGGGGAGGGGTAAGTGCCGTTAGGGCCTGGCACACGAAAGGCGACAATGGAGGGTTATGTTTTGCTGGGAAAGCTTTAATAAGTTACATGTAAAGAGATGGGGTAAAATCTACGACAGCACCACTCTTGTTCGCTTCGATTTCCACAAGACTTGCAAGTGCTCATGAAACAAAGGATGTTTCCCGAAGGGTCCCTGGAAACGAAAATTCTCATAGTAACACTGAATTTAAAACATCTACAGAACTTTAGATTGGGGCTTGGGGCACTCATTTGCAAAATCGAGAAAAAATTCGTAGCCATACGGGAACGGACTTAACATACCCTGAAATTATTGAGCTCACACTTCAACGCACAAAAAAAAATTAAATGAAAAGGAAAAATTTTGATACCAGCTTTTCGAATGTTTCGAAACCATAGAAACAGCTGACAAAATTTGCACACGACAACTCAGGTAGCCAAGGAGAAAATCCCGTTGAAGTGCGACACGGTAATAAACAAATATGGGTGAAATTTTTTTCGGCTTCATGAACCATCACTTTGTTCAAATTTTTGTCCGTTATTTCTGCGTTTAAACGAGCCATTCATTTCTTTTTTAAAGGAACCACAGACAAAGCCCAGGAAAACTTCTTTGCAAGAAGAATTAATATTTTATAACCGCTGTCTCAGCCTTCAGGATTCCTGTTTTCAGACCTCGCACAATTTTGTGATTTCACTTTACGTTTTTTTTAGGGGAGGGCTATGAAATGTACACAGTTTTAAAAACACACGAGCTTAACTATTGTTCAGCTCATTAAATCTCCTGTTTCGCCGCTTTCTCGTTAGTTTGCAAGAGGTCCCTGTGAATGAATGAAGGTAACAAGAAGCAAAGAAGGGTAAGTTAACTGCAAGCTTAAACAAACTGCAAGCAAACTACGGGAGAATAGTTGGCATGACTTAAGTTCAAAGCCTTAAAAAAGTGAACGGTCTTTATCTTGGCAATCCTAGGCAATCCTAGGCAATCCTCGGCAATCCTCGGCAATCCTCGGCAATCCTCGGCAATCCTCGGCAATCCTTAGTCCTAGTCAGCCCCACTCCTCCCCAATTATCTTTGCATGAGAAGCAATCACTCACTGGCGGCCATGTTGGCTACGGCTTCAAAACCTAAAATATTCTTGTGTGGGTAATGTCGCCCAGCTTTTGCATACGTGAGCTAACCTGTTCTCCTTTCTCAGTTTACAGGCTTGCAAATTATTTTACAACGTTATTAGCCACTTTGTTCACAGGCGGGATGAACACTTCTCGTGCAGCATTTGCAAACGAGAAGTCCAAGAGGAGCACCGATTTGGCAATTGAAAACTCCCTGCATAGAAATGTTGAATAAGCCGAAAATTGCACTCAAAGATGTCCTCACGAACTCAATTCCACTGCAAGATTCAGAGGAAAACGGTTGAAAAAATGCTGAAATCACACTGATGGGAAAATAACGACACAGAGAACCAGTATGAGCCTATCAAAATAAGGTGACTTTTTTAAAATTTCTTTTTTTCGTGTAATTAGCGTTTAGGGAAAATGACTTTAAATCTCAAAATTCCCATATACTTCAAATATGAGCTTCTCTGTACGATACGTTGCAGATGGCTGATGAAGGGAGGAAAATGAAGTGGATTTCAGTCTCAAGTGCAAGGATTTCAGGAAGTTTTTCGGGTAAGTAAACAAAAAAATGATGGACAGTACTTTATCTTATCATTGAAGCATATCCGACTTTAACTACTGAATGCATATTATTTATGCTAATTTAGATATAATTGTCAATAATTCTGACATAACTCCCAAGACTCTTTGCACAAGATTATTTCATTCAATTCATTTTCCTTGGTTGCTCTGTGGGTATTTTCACCTCTGGCACTGTCTTGTCTGATCAAAATTAAGGGCAGAATGGTGCCAGAAAAGTGTTGGAGTTGCACTGATTGACTGACTGATTGTTAAACTTATGAACATATTGATTAAGTGGTATACTGATAACTGATAACCAGACTGACAGCCTATCTGAAAAGCTAGTCTACCAATCACTTAAAATTGTTATTACTAACTTGTTGATGGCATACATCTACACTGACTTATTCACTGATGGTCAACCTGGCTATATTTACCACATGTACTGAATGGCTGATTGACTGAGTCACAAATGCCCTGATGGACTCACCAACAGGCTCACTGTCTGGCTGACTAACTGATGGGCTGACTTGTCAACTATTTTATGACCTGTGTGCTGACTGACTCATTGACTTACAGATTAACTGACCTACTGGCTGTAGGACTCAATTGTCAATTTCAATCTCAATTGTCTGTATCATTAACTGACAAACTTGCCATGTGAATGACTGATCAACTGACTAATTCACTGACATACAGAATAAGTTACTGATTAATTGAGTTAGCCATGGAATTAAACATTGATGACTTACTAAACTATTGGTTCATATTAGTGCACAAGAGAAGTTAGGAGGGTACGAGAGAAGGGTAAGAGTTACTGAAGGTGCAGCGGAAAGTAACTCCAGCTTTTTGAGTGCTCTCTGAACTTCCCAAGTGCATCCATAACTCAATTTACACACAGTTAGAGTATGAACCAATTCTTTTAGAACATAGACACAAGTTGTGTGTGTTCCTACATAAAAAAGAAGAGGAAAACCTGTATTGGACACAGGAATGTCTTTGTAGAAGAAATGGGAGACATAACACTTTAACCCTAAGATTGACTAACATCTAATTTCTCCATACAACATCACCCCTGAATCAAACATTAAGGCCATGAGAATAAAGGAGATGATCACCAACTAAAGAAGCTCTTGATTGTTGAACACATTCTCCTCGTCTGAACCCAAGGAAATGTATAGGCAGTAGTATGAAGAATATGCATACTGATGTTAAGCCTTTACACCCAACATCAGTATGCCCATTCTCCTCACTGTTGTCTATACGTTCCTTAAAGTGCAGAAAAGAAGAATGTGTTTAACAATCAAGCACTTCTTTAGTTGGTGATCATTTCCTTAATCTTTGTAACCATGGTGTTTGAATCATAGGCGATATTGAAAGGAATCATTAGTTTCTAGTCACTCTCAGGGATTAAACAGTGAAGGAGTGAAGGGTTAAAGCTGACACACAACAACAGTGTTGCCCAAACAATCTCTTCCTTAGTCTTGATCTGTGATACAAAGACTTGGTTCCCAAACAATGAAGGAAAAAAAAACTGTTTCGGACATTGGGCTGTCTTCATGTGCTGATTAGGTGTTTGACTTTGCCCAAGAGACTTAAGCTGGCCCATAAAGGGGTTGGTGTCACCCAACAAATCCCCTCCTTAGTCTTGATCTGTGATGCAGACTTGGTCCCTAGAAAACAGAAATAAAACTGTTTTAGACACTGGACTGTCTTTATGCACTGATCGGGTGCTTGACTTTGTACAAGAGATGGGAGACTTAAAGCTGACCCTTAAAGGGGTTGGTGTCACCCCCAAAAATCTCTTCCTTAGTCTTGATCTATGATGTAAAGACTTGGTCCCCCAAAAAAGAGAAGATAAAACTATTTTGGACTCTGGATTGTCTTTATGCGCTGACTGGGTGTTTGACTTTGCATAAGGGATGGTAGACTTAAAGCTGGCCTTTAAAGGGGTTGGTGTCACCCAACAGATCTCTTCCATAGTCTTGATCTGTGGTGCAAAGACTTGGTCCCTAAAAAAGAGAAATAAAACTGTTTCGGACACTGGACTGACTTTATGCACTGATTGGGTGTTTGACTTTGTACAAGAGATGGGAGACTTAAAGCTGACCCTTAAAGGGGTCGGTGTCACCCAACAAATCTCTTCCTTAGTCTCGATCTGTGATGCAACGACTTGGTCCCCAAATAAGAGAAATAAAACTGTTTCGGACACTGGACTTTCTGTAGGCGCAAGAATTTGTATTATAATCTTTTGTTATTGTTGAAGTTTCAAAGTTTCGTGTCAGGTGCTTATTTTCTCGTCTTCATTAGTGTCCTTTGTCAGTTACCAGTTTTATACTTGTTATATTTATTTGCATATCCTAGATTTATTGTTCGCGCGTAACTTATTTGGTTAGTTGTCTAGTGTGCGAAAAATATCGTGACATATCTAGCTTTGGGTTTCATGTGTTCGTATTTGGTTTGGTCACATTCGTCTTTTACCGTATTCAACAATGTGTCAAGTTTGTTTTAGTCAAGTTTGAAATACGAGTGATTAGCGTTTGTGGCTATACTGTCTAGGTGTTTGACTTTGGACAAGAGATGGGTGATTAAGGATTGACCCACCATGGAGTTGGTATCGCCCAAAAGAATCTCAGAAAAGGTTAAAGGATAACTCATTTTAGATATTTCATACTTTAAAACTTGCAAATAATCGGAAAGAAACAATTTAGACGACTTTCCTCAATTTTGCGTCTTTTTTGTTAGAAAGTCCAAATAATGTTTATCGATTTCGAGAGATTTTCCAATATATATCTGCAATATACGTTAAACCCTTGTGTACCTCAAATAGGAAAGAAAAGTCTATATTGTTTGACGACGCTGTGCGCTTTCATTTCCTCTTTCAGGTCCCATGAAGGTCACATGTTTAGAAAGGTCATGGTAAACGCGTGTTGAGCTTAACTACGGTTGAACAGAAACTTGTTAATGAGGTGAGTTTACTACATTGCTTTATTGCGTACATATTCATTTTGTGTGTGCGCGCAATGTGTCAGAGTTAAACCAAATAAACGAATGTCCAATTGAACAAAATTGTTTTTGGACACAGTAAGAATATATTGTGTATCATATTGTTATATTGTGGCTCATTCGAAGTTCTTCATTCTTTTTCTCGTAGATTTCATAAAGAATGACTACCGCAAGAAACCAGACTAAACTAGTCAACCTTCCATAGGAAGCATAAATTGAGGTCGTTCTGTCACTCCCGGCAGGCAGTTCTCTAGTACCTGTAAAAGCTATTTACTTTGTGGTTAAAACATCTTATAATACGCATGTGTATCAAGACAGACATTTGGTTAGACAAAACGCATGCGTTTGAAATAAATATTACTACCACAACGTAGACAATCTTTACAAAGACTTAAAAAATCTGTCTGCGCGAGGTGGGTGCGGCGGGGGAGGTCGGATGGAGAAAAACAACTGTATAAAATTATTGTAATATTACTGTGTTATAAGACTGTAATCACAAGAATGTGGTATTCAAGATTGTATTTGTATTTCACAAGGTTGATAACTTAGTAAGGGATAATGCGGGTGTGTTGGTGGATGGTGAACTGGGAATCGTTTTTAGCTTTCTTCCAAGATTGATAACTTTTAAGTACCATCTAATAGAGGCGCGTGTGGTGGGGGATGGTGGACGGATCGACCCCCAATTTTTCATTTTATTCTCTGAAGTGGGGGTCGGTCCAATTTTACTTTCTTTCCAAGATTGATATTTGTCTCTAGTCTCATGCCTAAAGTGATCGTGTGCCTTGGTGTCCAGCGCTGGGTTGTCGAAGAAACCTGCAAAAGAGAGAAAAGAAATCAAGACCAAAAATTTGAGCCATAAAATACGTTGACCCCCTATTTTTTTTTCCTTCCTCTTCATGGTCTTCTTGTATCGGAAGCAAAGGGAGAAACAGGAATAAATGGTTATAAATAATTGCCTTATTCCTTTTTTTTCCATATATCATTCTAATGAGAACACTGTACGAAACCAGTTTCACTTTACTGTAAAAGTGTAAAAACCTTAATAACAACAACATTGAAGCTAACAGAGTAAATGTTCTAGTTTTCCACGAGAGGACGCAGATACTTTTTCTGGTCTTTTTTTACCTCGATGACAATCTGAAGTAAACTACTTAACACAAATATATTGAATCACCTGAGGAACACGCGACGCCAGTCTTGAAATGGCTTCTTTATCGAGCAAACCTTACTCAACGGTATAGGATGAGCCTTTTCTCGATGTAATTACTGTAGCAGCTTTTGTTCCTCTGACAAACAGTAAATTTCTCATGCCTTTCCTTCTTGATGCTCTCTTAGGCCCAATCTTTATCGCTTGCTTCCACCAGCAATCTGCAGAAAGTTAAAGATTTCAAATGTAAACTGTATTTTTTTTGCGAACGGGCACTGCAGCAAAGGCCCCCCCCCCCCAGTATCATTTAATACGAAACCAGTTCCAATGTAACGTTCAAGTTTTTGAGTCTGGAAAATCACAAAAGTACAAACACATCAAAATGAAGAGCGCATCTCTTTCATGAAATAAAGCAAACAGCGACGGAAAGAAATCAGAGAAGGGCGAAACCTGAGCCAAGTGCTGTGAAATCCCTCGGGTAGCGTGAATTCTGCTCTTGGCATAGAATTAACATATTACAACTTGCGTTTAGCGTGTAATTATTTGAAATGGCTCTGCAATTCTAAATGCTGTAAAGCAAATTTTTCAGTAATTATTGATAAAATGAAAAACAATTTCGTTTTTTCATTTCATTAAATTAATTTTTTAATGCTAGAATAGACTGGTTGACTTTCTAATCTCTTTAACTACATGTTGATGAAATAACAACAATAACAGAAACTGACGTGTGCCTGACTGAAGCGAAAACAGCGGAAGCTAACATTCCAAGAAATTCATTGAAGCCAAACCTTGCAGTTACTTTGGACCTTTTCATAGTTTAGTTTTAGTATGTCCTTAGCGATAGGATCAATCTCTCGAGCTGTTAAGTCCTAACTTCACTGATATCTGTAAAAGTGTAGTTTGATCGTCCGGGTGAGTGTAGTCCTGAGAAGGACTGTTGTCGGTAGTGGTGACTGACGTTTCGACAACCTGAGCGGAAGTCATCATCAGAGTCAAGTGAAAGGTTGATTGATTGGTCGGATCCAAACCGACCAATCACGACTGACCTACGCCACTTGAGTCTTACAGCCAATAACATCACGGCAAAACTGACCAATCAGTGTACACAAACCGGACTAAAAACATTCGACCATATAATTTCTCATATGATTCTCAATCATTTAATTAATCACTTACCATATGATTTATTTAATGTATTTATGAAAAGCAATCCCTGTTTGCCACTTAAAACTCAACCAATCTATATACTATTCTGGACATTACATCTAGAGCTAAGTCTGTTCTTAAACTTACATTCCATATCATTTTTCATCAAGCTATTCTTTGGCTTTTTTGGCAATTGTATCATGGGTTTAAGTGTCAATAGTATGTATACAATATGCCATGAATTTTTTTGAGGTAGCACAAATTGTTACAATGTCAATCTCTGTCATATTTCCAGCTCCTAGACAAATAAACTAAGGTGTTGTAAAATAAGCTCTTTAAACTGGCCCAGTTGTATAATAGTTCTACAATTTCATCTCTATAATGGTATATGAAATAAAAAAATCATGCTCTGTATCCCTTTACATAAAAAGCAGGACACATAATTACAGACAACAGCCAGTAACAATTAAAAAATAATGATGATAATATAAAACTTTTCATTCATAGTGCTCAAAAGATGAGTCATTCACACACATCAATCTAAAAGGGATTTGAAGACATTGACTGATGCATAAGTTAAAATATCTAGCAAGGTAAACCATTCCATAGCCTTTGTGCAGCAACTGAGAAAGCCCTGTTCCCAAAAGGTTTTCAAGTGGGTCTTGGAAATTTTAAAAGATACTTATTGGAAACTAAGACTTCTAGAGGGCATATAAGGGACCAATAGATGACTGAGATATGCAGGTGCTAGATAATTCAAACTTTAGCATGTAAGCAATAGAGTTACAAAATAATTTGCTGCTTTACAGGCAGCCAGTGTAAGTCTATCAAAACTGGACTTGTGTGCACAGCCCTTGGCTGTTTATTATCATGATTAAGTTTGGATATAACATGTGCTGTTGTTAGTTGAAAGAGTGTGCTCCATGAGAGTATAGAGCAAAGAGCTGAGCTAAAAACTGTCACACCATCTGCCAAATTGTACTATGTTCGACCTTTCTTAGGACTTCTCTAGCTTTTTTTTGTGAATTGAAAGTGAAACTTCGGAACAAGTGAGCTGCCAAGTAGCAACAGAAGAACCAAACAAAGGTTTGTAAATATGCCAGGTGCCAGTTTGTTTTCTAATTGTCATGTGAAAAAACTTGTGTGTTTTTATGAGCCACAATTTGGCCCAATTTCATTGAAAATTTCACCTTCAGATTCTATATTAGAAACTAAAGAAAACTTCAGGAAAAAGTGTTAAATTTGACCTGCTGAACTATTTCAGTTTGTAAACTATTGCAGAAAGTGAACTTTGATGGTTTTATGAAATTTGATGGTTGGCATTTTTGACAGCTGTAGTCTTGTACAGCCAATCAGATTATTTGAACCATTCCAACAGGGTCCTGATTGGCTTATTGTAGCATGCTTTATGAGAGTATAGAGCATACTGATGACACTGTTGTTTGCTTTGGAAATAAAGTTTGTTTTGAAAATTTAAAGTAATGCGTGGGGAATTTAGTGGATTCTTCATTATGAAACAAATAGAGAAGCCTTGATTGTGCTCTGTTCTGATGTAAAGCACCTAGGAAGCAACTTCTTTCATGCTCTAGCCACTTCTGTGTGCTTTACAACAGAAAAGAGCACGTCTCTCTTTGTTACACAAGGCATACAGCGCAGTTTTTTTTTAATGCACTAAAGCTTTTGAATCAGCTACTTTGGTGAACCAATGAGCAGTGAATTACAATTGTTTAAATGACAAGTAACACTTTGAACAATACCAGAGTAAGATCAAATATAAGTCAAATTGGTTGATATGATGTCCATACAATTAGAGCTAAAATTGTAGGTAAGGATTAAAACTATTCTCTGTTTTCTATGTTAGAGAGTTTACACAGGTGTAAGTTAAAAAAAGCAACCAATATAAAGCAACTTTCTCAAGACTCTACTTGAGATTTCTTTCAATTTTTTAAAAACTTCTTTTCCAAAATTTGAGTTGCCAAATTCGGGTTGCAGTTTATCTTCGAGTGCAGCTTATCTGCCAGTGTTTACAACAACAATATCTAAAATTACATAATTATACTCTCTGACTAAAGCAGTCTCAACAATACGTTGATAGAAAGATCTCATAAAGACAAGTTCAATCAAATGTGAAGCTACCACTTTTTCAGTAAGTTCAGACATAAGCATGAAGTTGGAAATGGGAAGGAAGTTAGCAAAGGCCTCAAAAGCAGGTTTTAATTGTTTGTAAGATGTAATGATTTGAAGCTGTACCAAGGCATTAGAAGGTAAAACAACGGAAAAGAATACAGACTTTCATTGGGATCATCAGGGGAGGGGGCATTTCGTGACGCCAAACCCCGAAGTATCACCTCAAATGTTCACGGAAAGTGACCGAAGGATCTACCGAATGAGTTTCTACCCCATACGAAAAACTACATTGAAATTCACGCCTGAAAAAGCTCCTATCACAACAACACCACATGTCCAGAGGTACCCAGAATGAAATTTGCAGCAATCTCCTTCGCAAAATATTTCACCCATTTTGAGCCAGCTTAGCCAATAACATTAAATATTAGACAGATAAAATGATGAAAAAAAACCTGTGGTTTTTTTAAGATTTCTTTACTTACCTCTTACTGACAAGTTGACATCTGGCATGTACTTGAGAAACATGGTCTTCATTTCTATGTTTTGCGGCCTCTCTTCCTTCCATCTTAATTCTAAACATCACTGAGCGATAGAAAGTTGCAGAGAAGCTGAGGGGCTATTCAGTTCCGAGCCTTGTGCTGAAGCAAACCATAATTTCCCCGCAGTTACCACAACATCTACCGCCAATTTCGACGGCCATGTCCCACCATATTGGATTCAACCATTCCTAACGAGTGAACGCGCACGTTTCACAAACAACAATGCACGAAAACGCGGGAAATTGCAGATACAGCGCGGAAACACGTAAGTTTTCACGTACTTTCGAGGAAGAGTCATGTAGGTCATCTAATATTTTCATCACATTTCTTAACACACGACTACTTACTCGAGACAGGCAAGGAAGAGGGTTCAACATTTATTAAGTTTCCAAGTCAAGAATATTCGCCGTTTTGATCTTTCAGACTTCATGTGGAAAAACGGTTTTTTTTTACAGTAATTGTGATATTTTTATATACTTCCTTTGGATCCAAAAACTGCGATTTTGTTGATCAATAAATTCGAATGATCCAATCAGGAATTAGATTTTATATTGCACGAAATATTCAAGAAGAAGGATAATGGATAATTTTTGTAAGAAGTACATTTGTACCGGCGGCAAATTCAACGGAAGGAAATGAATAACAAACAGACCCACGTAGTAATTTCTTCCGTTTCCTTTCAGCCAAGCGGGATTTGAATGACTCCCGCTTGGCTGAAAGGAAATAAAAAATCGCTCCGTAAGCCTGTTTGAAAGCAAACAACACCTACTGAAACTAAAACGAAAAATATTACAAGGCACGATCGCAAATTAAAACAACAGTAATATTGTTTTACTTTGTTTTGCTTTCTTTTTTAACCTGCGATCGAGTGCTCTCCTTTAGGGAGAAGGCGATAAGAATAAGGTGAAAGAAGGTAGCAAGAAACGTATAAAAGACTTGCGGTCCCGAAATGTTAAGATTTATTTCGTTGGTTTTAGTTAAGGGAAATTATTTTGAAAGAAGTCGAGGGCGAGAAGCTATTCAAGCTACATAAAAGATAGCCTCAACTACGAGATGAACATCATTGGTAAGGCATATAATAACATCCGATATCATTATCTTGTTGAAACTTTTCACCGTATAATATCGATACCTTAACCATAAAGGAGTAGATAGTTCTTGTTGATCCATTTGTAAAACCCACAGGAAGAAAAATAAATGAGTTTTCAATTACTAGAAGTTCTTGTAAAAAATTTGTAATGATTTGTATCAGTTCAGAATTCGCCAGATGAAAAATAGACGCGGGGTCTACGAGACAATTATGTATGCAGTTTGGTCCGGTTATTTTAAACATTGCATTAAGACGGTCAGGGAGTAAATTAAAGATCCTCAGCAACCTTGTCACAAGATTTCGAGGTTGTCTATATTTGGTGAAACGTCTTCAGTGTCAAGCTAAAAGTATTATGACTTAGTCGTTCTCGGATAAGAGCATCAGATCTCACTGTTATCTAAGTTCGACTTCCATCATCCAATCAGATCATCCCAACAGAAATAGCAGCTGCTCTTTGTGTCATTAAATCCGAACTCTGACCCATGAACGTTCTGCCATTACGGAAGCAATTGTGACAACCATTTATCTTTCATCTCCTTCAACTGCAATTTACGCTGCAAAGATGGTTGACACAATTTACATCGCTTTTGCCGTTGCGTCTGCGGTTATCTTTATTCCAGGTGTGGTTTTAAACTTCCTCATCTGCCTGGTGTTTTACAAAAACGAACAATTTCGCACTCCACCGAACGTGTTCATCGCAAGTGTCGCCGCAAGCGATCTGCTTTATTCAGCGACCACATTACCACTTCTCATTGCTACAAACGCCTATGGGAGATGGATTTATGGAGAAAAAGGTTGCAAAGCAGCTGCATTTATTACGGCTTTTTCAGGGCTGGTCTCAATGATGCATTTGGCAGCTGCTTCATACGAGCGATACACCGTTTTAGCGTTTCCTCTTACAAGCCGCACAACTATCACCTTTCAAAAAGCTGTCCGTATTTCAGTTGCACTATGGTTGTATTCCCTGTTCTGGAGTGTTATGCCCCTGTGTGGATGGTCAGGGTATGCACAGGAGGGTGTTGGCACAAGTTGTGCCTTGAGGTGGAGGTCGAGTCAAAAAATTGATTTGACCTTCAATATTTGCCTAATATTCGCCAGCTATCTATTGCCTGTGTGCGTAATGGGCTTTTCATATTTTAAATGCTGCAAAGAAATTGTTGCGGGAACAAGAAGGGCAAAAATCATTTGGGGAAAGTCGTCGAACTTCACAAAAAAAGCTACTGAAGTAAAACACAAGATGCTCATCCTTTTTGGAATAATGACCGTGGCATTCATCATGGCCTGGACTCCATATGCAATAGTTTCGCTTATATCGATGATTGGTGGACCTTACGTCATCAGTGACGTGACAGCATCTATCCCAGCATATCTTGCTAAATCATCATATTGTATCAACCCGATAATTTACGTTTTTCGGAACAAGAGATTGAGGCGGCAGATCAAATGCATTATACGGAGTGCGAGGTAGTGTTGTGACAATTAATCATTGGTTCGCATTTATTGGTAAGGCTGGAAAGTCTTTGGCACAGGTACAACAGCCCTAGGGCGATACCAAAATACCACTCGAAAGAAAATTTTAGAACAATCCCGACAAATAGGAGCCGCTGCCCCATGGTCGCCCTCCACATCCTCCCCCTATGTTCGGCAATGAAGAAGGATCATGCTGGTTTGATTGGTCCCGCATATAAGCACTAGAATAACCACAGCCTTACTGGAATTAACGTCCGCATGTTCCATTATGAGCTAGAGGAAATTCTTTTGAGATCAAGGACAAGTACAGATATAATAATAATAATACTTTATTCTTATACATATATGTATACACGATACACGATGAATACACGACACATATTTGAAAAGGTGGACCGCGAGGTTATCCCTATAAAAGGTCCCCTAACTGAACTTTAAAAATATTAAAAAATATTAAAAACGCGTGTAAAAATCATTAGTGCAGGTACAAAATGGTACAGTAAGAATGATATTTAAAATGAAAATATATACAATTAAAATATGAGCTTCTGTGTCAATAAATCTTCATCCATCTTTTTAAGCCTTTTTTAAGTTTGTTTGCGCTAATTTCGTCAGTGAAGAGATGTTTTGACAAACTGTTCCAGTCTTTGACGATTCTCACGAAGAAGGAGTACTCAAGGGAGTTAACTTTAGCTAATTTAGTTTGTATTTTGTATGGATGGTTGGCTCTAGTTTTTTTACCTCTACAAAACTCGAAATAGTCATCAAAGTCTAGGCCTTTACATATGTGTCCCGTGTAAAGCTGCGGTGACTGGGTCTTTATCTGGCTTCAACACTTTCCAATGCGCCAATACAGATTAACATTTCGATTGAATCATCAAAGCAAAATGTGCCACGCACTGTTACAGTATGGTGACAACAGCTCGGACAAATTTACAAACTTTAACGTTGGGACAAAACTGAAAAACGTGTCTGTTTTTCGTCTCTCTTACTCTTACTCCTGTATGTTGGAGTCTAAAAGGACAAATATGCTTAGTTTCTTCCATCAGTTTGACGTGTTGTTGTACGGACTGTCGGCAAGTAGACTGGCAGCTAAACCGGACGGGAACTTTAAAGTTAAAATACAACAGGCCTTGTCACCTTATTTGCACACGGGCATTGCTTTATTTTTTTAACGTTTCGATCATTTTTAGACTGGAAAAAAAGAGATTATTAGTTTCAGGTAAGGTTAACCTACTTTGCTTGTACTGCAAGTGTTTGAAATCTAGGGAAGTATCTCAAAACACTGAATTAGTGAGCTCGGCTACAAGCACGACTTTGAATGGTGATATGCATGCTTTTTGACGTCTCCATTTAATGAAGGCCAACTTGTTTCACTCAATTTCAGTCCTATATGGATATTTTCCACATAAACAGGAAGTAATATGAAAAACAACTGTATTACATGAAAGTAGCGATCAATAAGCAATAGTATAATGCTGACAGACTTTCATCAGAAAATGAAACGCGCGTTATCTGCGGCTGTTTATGTCGTAAGATCAATAAACAATGTTGGATTAATGACGCTTTTAGACAAAACAATAAGGCAAACAGTCAACGAACAGTGTATGAGGTCATAACCTTTTAACTCAGACAATAATTTATGGTGAGATGATCCGGCGGTCAAGTTACAATAAACAATAAAGCTTGCATGTTAATTTCTCGTTGTCATCGTCAACCGTCTCTTCAGCGCGAAGTCGCGCACAAGACTCCATAGTAATCCACCATTTGGACTGATTCTAGGTCACCTTTCCCCCCCTATAATAGATGTACTAACGGTAATGAAGAGTCATAGTGAAATCTAACTCGTGAGAAATATTTAAGATATCTCTCTGAAATGCAGAATAAGATAAAGATAAGTTTACAACTTTTAATGAAAATTATCTGTCTCTATTAGAGACTAAAGCAGAGGAAGATAAGATACAAGCATTCCTAAACAAGGTTCATTTCATTCCGAAAGCATACTTCTTCACTGATTAAATCTGATCTTGTGCCCACCCACAAGAGAAAATTTGCGTAGCTCATTCTATGTTTAATGGTCATGTTTGAAGATATGGAGGTCAGTGCTGTTTACGCTTGCCTTGAGTCAGATATCACCAGCGAAACTTTATAGTAAGACAAAGATTTATTTTATCGAAGGTTATCGTTATCATTGTCTCACGGTAGGCGCACGTAGACTTAATCTTGAAACATCATGCGAAAAAAATTACGGGCGTCCCGTAGCCTAGTCAACTGTTTTTGCGGTTCGTCTATGCATTTTCATTTTTGATCTGAAACGCGCCTATATGATGTCACATTGGAACTCAGTAATGAAATCTGTAAAGATAATAAAAAATTTACTCAGACTAAAGTGGCTCATATTGTTTGTTAAACTCTCATGAAAATACGACTAATCACGACTACGACTACAATATATGTACAGTTTATACGATAATATGTAAGAAAGATAATAGAATGTAATAAGCATGGAGGTTCATATAGCATTATGATCATAAAATGTAAGTGAAGAAAAGTACAGATTTATAGTAAACTTAGCTTTGCTATTTCAAATACATAATTGACGAGACGTTGGAAACTATAAAAAAATCGGGAAAGCACTTAGAGAGCGAAGACACAGTTTAAGGGCTCGGAACTATTATTGCGTTCTTCAAATGCTGTAGTATCCTTGTCCCTGAAAACCAATCATTTCTCTTAAAGAGTGAGGCCTCCTCTCCTCGGGGCTTTAACCAATGCTAAGACGACAGAGGACTCTGGCGCCTTAGGATTTACTTAAGAGTCTTACACTTTCCCCTTACTGACGTTTGAGAATATGGTGCTAGGATGTTGTATCATCATAAATTACACTTTTTTTCTTGAAAAATGGAGCCGTCTAAGACACCACAAGCCCCCCGCCACCCCCGTGTGTTCTTGGAAAAAACACCCCTCTTATGAAGTACCTCCCATCAGGGGGGAAGCAGCATTTTCCAGAAAAATAAAGAGGTAAGCTTTCACTATCTTGTTATTGACATTTCAATTATTGTCAAAACGAGGTATCGGCTCTCGTGCGACTAAAGCCCCCCCTCTCTCTAACTTCGCCCTTGTATGTTGATTTTTTGCCTTTACAAAGCCAAAAAAAGATCATTATGTACACATCCCTAAATAATTTTACTTATCCAGTGACTTGAGTCTCTAACTCCAAGTCTCTTCCACTCTGCTTTCCTTTGCATCCGAGAAGATCTTTAAACGCCTTTCTATATTCCTTGTTAGTGAAATAATAAATGAAGGGATTCATGCAAGAATTGAAAAGCACAAGGACATTGAAAGCTTTGTGTAACGCGCTACCAATCTTTGTGATCCCAAAAGGACTCAGGGTATAAATGGTTTGAGCAGGCAAACCGCAGAATGTTAGAGCGACTGCTGCTAAAGTGCACATGCGCAGAAGAGCTTTTTGTACCTTGCGCTCGGTCTCAACAATGGCGCTTCGACTTAGGGAGGATGGGAGATGGACTGCTATATCAGCAAATGTAAACCATGTCAAGAGACACGGAATAAAAAAAGTAATTACACTGTACGTGACAATGAAAGCACGCGTTCCTTCCTTACCATACGGCGCTTTCTTCGTGACGCATTTCTCTCCAGAAAGGCTTATTTCGAAAAACTTATTCATGGAGAGAATGCAGGTTACAATAAACATAACGCTTACGTATATTAAAACACGTTTCCTGCTAAAGTGTGTCTCATATTTCATTGGTCTGAATACGCAAAACCATCGTTCAATGGCCAAACAGGCTACGAGAAGGATGGAGACCTTTCCCATGGCGAACAACAAATATCTGTTGCTGAGAAGTCGGCAGAAAACTTCACCTCCCGCTCCGTGGGGGACTGGGTAAGAAGACTTCAGGATGACGTAACCAGGGGTAGCGACGATAAAGACACCTGAAAGTTACCAGATAAATGAGGAGACCTCATTTGTGAGCCATTACATTGTGATTACTATGTTAATAAACACGATTCCACAACTGATGGCTAATGAAATCATGAAAAGGTACCGCATGCTAAAAGACTGTACCGTGAAATTTTTAATCGGTCGAACTGTTAAGTGATTGACAAAATGGCTTTAGGCGGAGATCCGTGAAAAAGAATCTCTAAGGTGCATAGCTGACAACTGCAAAATAAGTCATTAAAAACTCTGCACTACAGATCTTTTGGCCCTTCTGGACAGGATTCAGTGAAAGGTGTGAAAATGCAACATATGTTTCATCTGTTTTTTTTCCAGCACATTAACGTTTACTACTATTTAACAGAGATATATCTAGAACTATTTGGAAAACACGAGGCCATAGGGACACAGTTCTTCATTCTCCCTAAAAGTATCAAGTGAGTTAGTTACATGTTAAGAAAGACAACAGCCGTCGTTACCCCGGACAAGGGGTAGGGAGTGTCTAAAGACAAGGAGGCTTTTGAATAACGTAGTCTCTACCACGTAAACTTAATTCATAAACATGCTTAGCGGCTCTCATGTATTAAGCGCGAGTTTCTTACCCGAAGATCGCGCCCCTGAGATGCTACAATTCCGATGTCAAACTACATGTTCATGAAAACGTTAACGGAAACAACAGAAATGAAAGTTATGCCCTCTTTGATCAAAAATCAAAAATTGATACTCAATTAATGTGGCAGACATCATCAAAGTGAAAAAGAGAGAATCAAGTACAGTTAATCTGTAGATGAACTTGTCATCTTTGTTATCCCTGCAACAATTTCGCTCATCCATTATCCTTAGAATTATTTTGGCAGCAATCCATTACATAAAAAAAATCCCCGAAAGAGCCTCGATGATAAGCTATCGAAGTTGTCGAGGGAGTGATTTGTGATTTATTCATTGAGCCTTCCGATCTAACATTTCAACCCCTTCTCCTTTAAGAAATACCAGAGGAAAAAATATATTTGTGCTTTATAGCTCAATGTTGACAAATCATCGGATTATGTACTGACCTGTCAACATATCCACGACGGCCAAATTAAACAACAAGATGTTATGAGCTTTCTTGAGCATGACAGGGTTTCTCAAAAGCATCACACAAAACAAAAGATTGAAGGTGAACGAAGTGGCTGCGATCAGGCTAAACGCGATCTGAAGTCCTACATGCGAATTCTCCGAATCTTTTAGTACTGTTGGGGTAGAAGAAGTGATGTTTTCCATCTCTCGTAAGCTGTAAAAGAATTCATCAAGATAAGCTGCTTACTTACAAGAGATTCATGTACCAAACACGACTCATTTACTTTTTCTTTCTTGTTTTGTGAAACGTTCTTGTTCAAACAAAACACAAAATTAATCTCGGTATATAATTAGATTATGACAACCAGTCGTCAATACACGGCTGTAAGAACAAGCAATCATTTTTTAATGGGACAATCGTGAAATTCCTTAGGGAAAATTAAGCTCTACCTTACTTTTCTCACCTAGGCCCCAGATCTCAACTACACCTAAACACTGCTGTAATCATTCAGTACTGTAGTTTCCCAAACTTGCATGAAAGAGTGCTGTTTTAGTTTCTCAAGCTACTGGCCATAGAGAACATCTAGTATAGTAAAAATGCCAACATTGTTCTTTGTATAGGGTTGTGACTCTGAAACTCATTTAGAAACTCCACAAGTGTGTCGTAAGGAAGATTATAATATTTCCACGAGCCTTCGTGGGGTAATAAATACTCCCTTGTAAGGGTTCAAACCTCAACAAGTTCCGATTACACTGTTGGATGCCCTGCCAACTGAGTTAAGAGTTGAGGAACTTAACCGTTCTTTTTTAAGGTTTTCATATGACAAGCGTCTAGCATGTTACAAGGATCATTAATGTTAAGAGAGAGAGTGGGAAAGATGGCAGCATTTGAATTCTTGCGTCGAAGAAAGACAGATGATTATTTTTCACATGCATGGGACGAAGAAAGTCAGCTGTTGGTGATTCGAACCCCAGCTTGTTTTGATTTCGATATACGATTCTCTATAGGCTAAGCTACCGAGAACTCGTCAACACACATGGCTATTGTAAGTTCAATAATTAGAACATGGATCATGAAAAATTTCCCTCTCACCTTGAAATCTTAGTTGTGCAATTTTCCGATAACTTCAGAAACTATCTTTGGGACTGAGGAACACCGTATTCGAATTCTTCCTGTTTCGTCTTACTAACGAAGGTCTCTAAAAAGTCTCCGTCTGAGATAAGAGGACGATTAGCAAGTAGTTGTTAGACATGCCAAGACTGAAGTACCCACCTCTAATAAAACTGAGAAAATGGATGGCTTCAAAGACACGCAATAAAAGAACCTAATTTACAACCCAGTCTCCATCGATTCCAGACTCCTTCCTTACTTGCGTCATGAGTATCCTTTATACGACTTGACCTCTTGAATACCCTTGTATCCAAAACAAATTATGAAATGACCATCAAGCATTCGTACCTAGATCTCAAATTTCTGGAACAAATGATTTTAGGAAACGTTTTCCGATTATCTGAGGACTTTACAAGTTCCAAGACCAATGTCGGCTCATTTTGTGTTTTTTTTTTCCTTTTTTTTTTTTTTTTGTCCTCACAAGTGAACGTGATTTTATTTGTAGGATGAAGCCAGCCTACGATGCTTTAGACGTTAAACAGATAGAAGAAATTCTAGAAGTATTCCTTAAAACTCGCAACAGCTTCCGAAAGCTTCTCGTGTAATTACTGTTGGTCCTATCTTTGTTTGCAACAGTAAATTTGACGTCTGTTTATATTAAGCATGTGCAGATTTATTTAAATGACTGCACAAGTCTGTTGAAATGACATATGATATTCAAAAAGGCGGTAACTGATGAAAAGAGCTGCTTCCGTTTTGGACTGAACTACCTTGGACTGCACAGGCAAAGCCATATGATCGCCTATTCATAGTTTCAGAGCTTACTGGACATCCAAAAGCTTACTGTGAAGCAGTAGTCGATTTTGCTTCGCGCTGTGAGATAAAAGCAGTCTCTATGAGGTAAGGCAAATTTGTTACGCATTCGATGAAAGAATAAATCAACGAAATCAAACCACAGCTATTTCATACTCGCAAAATATGGCCGATGAACGCCCTGAAATAAAACGGCATGCATGTCTCAAATCATAAAAAATGCTTTCTTAGGACAAGAAGATTCATTAAATCTGAGAAACAAAGGCTAGTTTGTTTCTGTTTTTTTACACCCCGGAGACAAGTCAATTGCAGTGCCCTCTCTCGACATCACGCAGAGATTATTGTACAAAGGTCTTGACAGGTAGATATTTCACCGATAACCCTGCTTAACCTCGTTGTTTGCACTGATTGTCATCCTAATCTTATATGGACTTTACGCTCTCTGAAAAATTGTGTTCTTTTCCCCTTGATATGGGGGATTTTTGAATGAATCATTAAACAGTATTTAAAAACAGAGCAGAGAAGAAGGAAATTACTCTTACATAACCTAAATACTTTCCAGTGGTCCCCTCCTCAAGTGTTGTTGCCGTTCAACAAGACAGTACGTACGTTCGTACAAGTATATTGTTGTAAATTTACTTTGATTAGCTTAATACTCTGTTTGTTATAGAACATTTCCAAGCCAGGGTAGTTTGAGTACTCACTTTAACCAATCACGTAGAGCAGCTAGGTAAGGAAAACTAGGAAAATTAGGAGAATGCTTAATCTTTCCAGCTTTGGAACTTGTGCCAAGTAAAGAAAACGTCGTCCATAAAAAGGAGTCTCCCTCGGAATATTTCGAAATCATCATCGTCGACATTCGGAGCAGGATTTAAAGCTCCCGAAGATAAATTTATTTTATTATTTTTTTAATTTATATTTTTTTTGCGATTTTGCCGTCCATTTACCCTTTAAGGTCCCTTGACGACAGGAAACAATTTTCATTAAGGTCAGTTTTTTATTGTATAAAGGGGTTAAGTTTCTAAAGAAACTGTGGTACTGCGTCAATCGCTTTGATGAAGGACTAACGCTTGAAACGTCAGCTTTTAAACTCTTTACGATGGCCAATTTATGTTATCAACTCTCTCTATATTACTAAATTATCATGTTTGATTGTATAGTCTGATCTAGTCTGGCTGAAGACAAGAACTGAATTAATTTACATCAACGTAGAGGACGAAGTTCACATGGCTCGTCTGTATAAACATTATTTCAAAAACTGAACAATCATTTAGAAATCTCTAATTTAAAATGTTGTCCCAGGGTGAGACACTCAAAGACCAGATCTAGTGCGCGATTTTTATACTCAGAATATCTTGTTGTTGCTTGATCTTTGCTTTCGAATAATCTCCACGCAATAAGCCAATAGCTAAAGGCAATTCCAATCGTATTTTTCTCTACTTACAAGTTTCAATCAACTGGGATTGTTATTCGTATTTTCAATTTTATCTCCGTCTGTTCTTTTATAGGACAACTTTTTAAGGTTGAGGGTGTCACCCGAGCGCGTTTCGTTCCGAGAACTACTAGTAAATGAATCTTTGGGCCTCCGCACAATAGCAATCATGCGCCGACGTAACCTCTTGTACAGAAAAACATAAACAATAGGGTTGTAACAGACTGATGACTTTGCAATGTATGCCGGGATAGATGCTGTAACTTCGCCAATGACGTCAGGACCAGCGATCATTGCTACGAGAGACACAACTGCATACGGCGTCCAGGCCACAAGATATGCTACGGTCATTACCCCGAAGAGTATTACCATCTTTCGTTCCATTTCAAGGGCTTTCTTTGTGAAGGGCGATTTTTTTCCCCACGTCTTTTTTGCTCGTTTTGCCCCTTTGTTTATTTCTCGGCATGATTTGTAATAAGAAGCGATCATGATACTCACTGGTAACACATAACAAGCAAATATCAAACATATGTTGTACGACAAGTCCAAGTTGTCTCGAGATTTCCATCTTAATGAACAACTTGTGCCTACTCCTTCTGGTTCAAAACCCGACCATCCACACAAGGGCATCGTGGCCCAGAACAGAGCGTACAGCCACATAGCTACCGTAGCACGAATTGCTCTCCTACGTGTAAAAGTTTGCTGACTTTTATAAAGGAACACCAATGCAATGTATCTCTCGTATCCTGCAAGGGACAGGTTCATAATTGAAGTGAGACCACTCCACGTGGCAACAAAAGCTGTCGCTTTACATCCATAATCTCCATAGATCCATCTGCCATGAAAGTTTGTGACAACTAAAAGCGGCAGAGAAGTAACACAGTATAACAAATCACCCAGAGCTACACTTGCAATAAAAATATTCGGGGCATTAAGAAGTTTTTTGGTTTTGTAAAACACCAAGCAAACGAGACTATTTAAAGAAGCGCCTATCACACAGATAACAGCAGCTAGCACAGCAAAAATCACGAAGATTGTGGGTACCATGTTGTTTTTGGTCTCCAACGTCAACAAAGCCTTTAAGGTAGAGTGTCCCAGTTTGGAAGCGTCGGTTGATTTTAATATCAGTCGCTGTGAAGATGAAAAGAACACGGTTGTGGCCTTACAAAATGAAATATTAATGGTGAAAAATTATCTTTACCATTCAACCAATGCACGAACTATAAATTTTAGCGCTGAAAAAGAGAGACAGGCAGCCTGGATTTAAGGTCGGTGGTTTAAGCCAATTCTGAGGGACTTGCGCATTTATAGCAGTTTTTAAGTGTTGTCTGAAGAATGAACGGGAAAACAAAACAAACCAAAATAGATTTACGAAAGTTTGACCTGCGGTGGGAGTGATTTGATAATATATAAAGCTCTTTAATTGAATTTTTATCTAACCTGTTATCTGGATCGTTATCGCCCGCCAAATCTGGTTGCTTCGTGTGAAAATGTAAAATAATCGAAAGTGATCTGTCTCAAGCCAATTTCGTTCACATTTAATCAAAAGCACCGACATGATTTTTCACGGCACTAATCTGTGATGCAGATGGAAACTTCAGGGCATGATTAGGCTATGGCTGTGTTGCGTTTGGCGGTTCATGGCAAGATTGTTTATTGCACCTTTCTCAATGCTGCCATAGGTTAGGTTGAAGAAAATTCATGACATTTCTCTCACGTTAAATGGTAATTGTGAACTCTCCCAGTAGAAGTTACTCCAAAGTTGTATCTTGCCAATTCGATCATCATAAGATTATAATTCGATACCTCTTTGGGTTACGAGCACCTAAATGAAGCAGTTAAATGCCATTTCTGAACAATATACTAAGCCACGAAATGAGAAGTGATATATTGCGCAGTTTTGGGTATGTTCGATATATTGTGCTTTTTATCAGTAGACAACATAAGGTAAAAGTCATCCATCAATTGCACAAGTACTGTGAATGGTTCCGTGCTACCTAAACAACTTCGACAACTCTGAAAACTGACACTATCAGGAGAGCCTTAGAATTACTTCATTTTCATTGCCAGTCTAGACAAGACTTGACAAATAAATAATTGACTTCTTGATACCATGTCTCTTCTTAGCGGGAGTCCTTTAGGGAACAACCGTTTCTTTAAGTGTAAAAGGACCTAAAAGGACACTTATTAGCAGAGAAAATCGACTATTGTCCTTGGATTGTTTTATTGCAGAAGGGGAAAACATGAATGATTGGATGGATGGAAAGAGTTCGCCTGTCCGTTGTATGTTGTTTGTTTAGGCAAGTCACTAATGATGGACTAAAGGAAATTTGACCGATCAATGGAGGAATGGATGGATAATAGATGTAAAGAAAGGATGGAAGGATAGAAGGATAGAGGGATGGAAGGATGGAAAGATAGAAAGATGGAAAGATGGAAAGATGGAAGGATAGAAGAATGAAAGGATGGAAGAATGGAAAGAAATAAGTGAAAAAGTGAACTAAGGGGAATTTTAAATCACAGATGGAAAACAAAAGACAGGCAAACCACAACAAAGTGATGGTAGAAAATTTCGAAGTGAAGTTGTCTCTTTTACGGCCTACCTTTGATACTCTTGAAGAAATTCAAAACGAGTGTTGGCACAGAAGTTGCCGAGGAGTGATCGATTGTTCAGATGTAAAACGAATATTTTTTATCAGTTTTATCAGGCTGGTCGTGGTACATCTTTCAGTAAACTGAGGACCTACCATCGATCATATCAATTCAGCCAAGCTCTTCAACCAAGTATCAACAAGCCAAATGTACTCGACTCGAATTGGTTCGAATCACGAAGGCTCTGACATTCTGACGACTAACATCAATCACCCTTGAACTTCGCCTTGGTTATCTGCGGGTGTTTCCGTCCAAATTATTTCATTCATTTGCAATATGGCTAGTCTCACCTTGGAGTTAAATATTTTTTCCTACACATTCAACTCGGTCCATCGATAACATATCAAAGCTGTTAACGGGATCCGTTGAGGTTTAGTCATTGTTCGTTTCCAGGTCATGTCTAAATGTAAATCACACCAACACTCCAAAACAATTCGTTTTAAAAGTTTTACCCCCTGTTAATCAATTCGATTTCACATTCTAGGAATTGATGAATTGTGTTTTTTTTATGCGAGTCAGTTTTCATTTTTAAGAAACGTCTCGACAGATACATTGTGGTCAAGACAATTAGGAACCAAATTTGGTTTTCTCCTCTTGTGCATCAAATGTTTAGTTGCCAAGAACAGTGGGAACTAAAGCCAGTCTTCGGCTCAGTTTTAACACTGTAAAATTCTAATGAAATTCAAATAAATGTATCTTTTGTATACAATAAATGATTTTTATCGTTTACTTGTTTGCAATCTGCATTAAGATGTGATTTGTAGATCTTTTTACAACGTAGAGAGCATCTTTCAGTGTTTTGAGGCAATATAAAAATTGTCTCTGCCTGGTGGACGAAGTCGTGTGTCTCATCAAAGTATCCTATGAATTATTTAACCTCTGTGACGATAACCCCATTTACCACAACACTACCAAGTCAAGGAGTTGTGAAAATAATTAACATTTGTTTGATATTAAAGACAAAGCGTTTGCACCTTTTTTCTTAAATATTTGACTAGTTTCCCTCAGTTGGGAAAAAACAAACAGCCAAATAAATAAACAAAATCTGCTTTAGTATTTTTTAATTGACCACTCCCTGATGCTATTTTCCTCTCGAGGATAATATGGATGCAAACAATTATTGAAACAATTATAATTGGAAGCTGTAACTTGGTGAGACGTTTTCCCAAGTTATGATTTTATGCCCAAATAACATCCTGTCAGCTGGTATAGTGAGAAAAAAGATCACAGTATGTGATCAGAAAACGCCTCCGTGCTGTAACTTGGTGAAACATTTTCCCAAGTTATGATTTAATGCCTAAATAACATCCTGTCAGCTGGTAGTGGTCAGAGAAACGATCACAGCATGTGATCAGAAAATGTCTCGGTTTAATCAATATCTGGCGGGTGGTTAAATTTCGCCAAACCGTTCTCCAATTAGGGGCTATTTTTTCGGTTATTGCACTGTTGATCCTCTTCACATCGCGGTAGGTTTCACTTCGGCTTCCGATGAACAAAGAGAAAAATAAACAACCGTTACTTTAGTACCGTTTCATTAGGAAAGATCGTCAAATATTTGACAGTTTTAGCACATCTTATTTAAATCTGCCCTCTCAGCAACATTCGAAGTTGAATCTTTTCATCATGGAGTGACAAAGGAGTTTCTCATGCGCACAGATATTTAAAATATTAGTTTAAGGGTGCTGATATAAAAGAAATTATCAAGCTTTCGATTTTGTTCGTACTCCAGACAATGGAGTCCGAAGAATTCGAAAGATCAAAGATGAGAACTGCAAATTCCGAAAAACTTTAAGTACTTATGTAAATAGACGTGTTCATCCTTGCTCTCCGTAGCCTAAAAAGATTTAAAAAACGACAACATTGTGATTCATCACAATTCGCATCATAAAATATTGTACAAGTTATTTTTCTAAATATATTATTTTTATTCATGATACTTCTCTCCCTCTACGTCTCTGTAAATGATTCAGGAGGACAATTCGATTTATCCAGGAACAATTTTTACAATTGCCCCTAAAAATTGGCGCAAACTTTCGCGTAAAATATGAAATTAGTATTATCTTTACCGCGGCAATCCCATTCAAAGGGTACTTCAAATAAAAACCACTTTTGGAAGGTAGTATTTAGTAATCTTATACAGTATTCTAGCGATACGAAATACAAAACCCGTTAAAACTATTGATGTCATTTAGTACTAGTGCCCAGGTAAAGATGGTTACGTCAGTGCAGTTCCTTTCAACTAAGCGGTGCAATACAGTCAACCTTGAAAGGCTATATAAAGTTACAGATGTTAAGTAACACAATAATTCTACTGGTACGGTGTAAGTGAAAGTGGTTGACGAGCATTTCAACCACACACGGTCACCAAGTGGGTAAGATCAGAACAGCAGAAAAATGGAAAGCCACTCATTAGGTTACCGTTATGGAAAAAATACTCCATAGAGTTCAAAAATTACAACTACCACAACAAAGGGACAAACTAAACAACAAAAATCCATCAAGGTGGGTAACCCCAATCGATTGGAAAGACTGATGACAAAGTAACTTCTTAAAGTAATACCACTGCACCATTACACCACTTTTCGCTAAACTAACAGGGATGCTCTTCACTGTTAGCATGTTCTTGGCCCATTTGTACAATTTATTTACAAAAAGGTTATTGGTCTCTTCAATTACGACATTTTGGTTATTAAATTAATATTAAAAATCCTATACTTAATTTAAGTTCCCATCTGTTCTCTAAACTTCAACTTCATAAAACTATCATGAGTTAACCGATACAAATATTTCTCAAAACTTTACGAACAGTTAGTTAAATACTGGGTGAATATGTATGACTGGGTTTTTGGGTCTGATTTAAATTTGTTTAAGTTAAGAGAATATAGAACAAGAGCGACAGTGAACGTGATCAGCGATTGAAATATTTGTACATTTAGTTGAAATTAATGTAACTGTGTGCCACCCTCTCTTAGCTTTACAAACTGTTTTAAAATACAAAATATATAGTTTTTTTCCTACAAATTTTCTCCCTACTAAAATACCCTCTGTCATAAGTGATTGTTAATATCTGTAATATTAATTTAGGTGCGAAACATTTTTAAGCTGCGGATGCAACTAATTGACTTTCATTTTTCCTTGTTTCCCTAGCAACTGCTTCCATGGAAACGAATTGATTCGTTTCATTTGCTGGTGTTAAATGCTTCGTCGCTGGAATAGAGGGTAGCAATTGGTCCACTGGATCAAACAGACTGTTTGTGGGACCATATTCCATGAACTCCTCTGAATCCAGATCATCGACAACTGACAGCAACACGCGGGAGCGTACTAAAAGTGTATAGAAATAGCATTGATAGGAAGATCTTTCCATAATGATTAGCCTAAATACCTTCTTATCATCGTACTCTGAACAAAGTTTTGATCGCGAAATCACCCGGTCTTCCAAATGCTGTTTTTTTTTTCAAGGAAATCATGCTTTAATTTTCAAAAGACTCACATGCTCACGATACTGTTATGTTAACTTCACCGTTGCTCACCTGAAGGCGTGCTGTAATCGACTCCTCCCTTACTAACCGGACTAGTTAATGACGGCAGACTCAAGCCAGATGTCGAAAGGGGGCTCCAGTTACCGAGAAATACGGCAAAGCAAAGCACCACAACCTACAGTATACACCAAAATATGAACTGTGTCAGAGAAGTCTCTTAAAATCATACTGTAGTTCTCTCCGGCCAGGCTAAATGAGCTAAACTACACGTACATGTGTGCGCGAATTCAAGCTCGACGCGGAAGCTTTTGTTTAGGTTTGATCACTGTCAAGGTAGTGCATGAGGGCGTTTTCTA